ATTAATAAAATAATATATATATATATATATATATATATATATATATAAAATTGAATAATTTGTATTGGCTTTTTGGAAAGAAAGGATTCTTTTAAAAATACCACGCGATCATCTTACCGACCAAGTTGATGGCTACAGTCATCATCGTTCCACCTACTTTATCTTTTTTCGCAATGGCATTTCGTGTTTTTTTTTTTTTTTTTTGGATTTTTTTCTACCTCCTCGTACGTAAAACGGTTGCAAAACGCATCGCAAAGCGCATGACGCATCACGAAAACGCTCGCTTCACGTAGGTTTAGACGTCGGTCAGGACGTAGGATTTAATAGCCATGATCCTGTTCTCTCGTGATCCGAGAGAATTATATCGTTGACCGTGAAACTCATAGCTAGAATCTCGATGAGGAATACTTTTACCATTTGCCATTAACTGCAAAATATATCGATACACTCTACTCGAGAAATACTCGAGAACCTTGACTGCACTTTCGCGGAACTCGAGCTGCATTTCAATGGACCTTCACGGTTCAACCGATTTCTCGATACACTTTCGAGAGAGAGAGAGAGAGAAGTTTGTTCGCGAAATTTTCCAAAGAGGATCGATCTCTTTCTCGAGAATTTTTTCCTTCGTCACGAAAGGATTTCAGGGAGCGAGGATTCGTGGAAGGATTCCTTCGATGGATCGACGATTTAACGAGTTAAAAGGCCGCATTTCGAGTTTGACTTTCTCCATGTTCGAGTTCTAGGTGGCATATGTAACGAACGTTGGCTCGATGCGTGAGTAGCTCTTCTCGTCCAGTCTCGCCTTGTGCGTCATCGATTCTTAAAACCTATGTCAATACCAGGATACACGGCAATCCTTTTACTCACAGATTGAGTTTCTTTCGCGCAAGTGATCTCTTCGATGTTAGGTCTATGAAACTCGTAGATTTCCTCGCGAATTTTTACCATCTTCCTCGACCTCGATGAAATAACAACACAAAGATTAAACTGTATTCTTGTTCAGAAGCGACGATAATGAGAAAGGTTTTTTATCAAAGCTTCATGTGTATGTATGAATCGATTTGAATGGCAGAGACAGGTTATGAAGAATGCAATTGCACTTGGAGCAACAACGAGGAACTTTTTTCTGCTTTATGGCGTGGAAAAAGTGAGCGACACGTTTTCGCTGCTGTGTGTTTCAAAAATCGGATAGACAAATAACGTGAATATTTCTTAGAAGGAAGAAACTTGCAAGCATTCTTCTTTCGAGATCTTGTTGACACAACATGACAAGATTCGACTCGCTATTCACGCATAAACGTGCATTTACGTTCGCGCGTTACATACAAATGTGTAATGTCTGCATACAATTGTACCGAATTCTATTTTCACATAAAACACACTTAATAAAACGAATAAATATTAATAAGAACAGAAAAGCGATGTAATTTTAATACAAACGGTAGCAATTATCTAAAAATGAATTATCTGATAACCTAACAGAACAAACAAATAATTCTCTGTGTAACACATCTTTCAATCAATTCTAAATAATACAAAATGAAAAACATATTTAATCAAGAAACGAGCAGACGAATCAATTCGAAATTTTAATAGTACAAAAAGTTAGAAATAATCTAAAATAAATCCATTCTTGTTGGGAACAATGTTGTTGCGCATCTGTATCACACACAATGATCAATTCTCTTTCGATCAACCTGCAATAAAAAAAATAGGAAAAAATTAAGAACAAGTCTCTCTCTCTCTCTCTCTCTTTTTCGTAATCGTAACCCATAAACTTATCGATTCGATCCCAGATCCAATAACAGATCTCGATCACGTCGATAAGTTTGGTGGGGACACAGAGAAAGTGAATTTTGTAAAAGCGAATCGGAATCGTAGAAACGGAGTTACTCGATCGGTAACACACTCTTCCCGATTTTTCGATACACGCGTCCCTTCCCACGACATCAGAGGTTGTCTTCTCATCCGACTCGCTTTCTATTCCAACCGCGTCATCGTTCACGAATCCTACGAAAACGAAGTCGTGCACACGTTGCCGTGATTTCAATCAGGCGGTCCTCTTCCCCTCTCACGATTTTCCGCCGGTGAATTGGAACGCGAGAAAATGAACGAATTAACATCATTTCTCCAATTCTCCAATTTCGAAAGGAATCTTAACTTCATGGCTTTCCAGTTCTATCTTTCTCGAGGATGATTCTTCGCGTTGGCTGGAAAATATATATATATATTGAAAAGTATAATATTGAATTTGAACGTGGAATTTATTGATATTTATCAAATTGTTATACTTGATTTGCTTTATTACAACTTTTTGCTATTTTATATCATGTCTCGTTGAATGCATTCTCTATGATATTGTGATATTATCCAATAATGGAGAAGAAAGGCAGGATTAAAATAATTATCGAATATAATGCAAAATCCAGCATTCAATTATCGAGGACGAAGGCAAGGCCATTTTCTAATTATCAATCCATTTCTTTAGAGGGTGTCCGATTAAAGAGATGGGCACGATTCCAGTGACCGGCAAGAATGCAGGGTATCAAAGTGAAATCTCCAAGTTGCAAAACATCCTCTCCCGACGTAAGGTCGGACACGACCAGCCCGTTCAATGTTAAGGACAGCCAAGAACCGGAATCTAAGACACGTGTGAATATCACCACAGATGACTTTCGCTCTCGAGCACAATACCTCCTCTTTTCGAATATCCCTCTTGGCCTCGTGTAAAAATACTCGTGTATACCTGGAAGAATGCATCGACGTGGACAGTTTTCGATTTCTTTCGTTCTGTACGATGATGAAACCTTGCGGCTCGAGGAATTTCATGGAAAGTGCCTTCGATCGTCATCGATCCTACCTCCGTGTCGGTAGACCGGTCCCAAAGAGGTTTAGCCTTTATTCCTTTATCTTTGATCGAGCAAAATCGGCAGAAATCAAATGGTGATTTAAGAGTTTCAGAAGAGTTTCGATCGAATTTCTTGTAAGACTTTTTTAATTTTATTATATTCGTGATTTGACGTGCAATTTTCCCCCGAAGGAAGGGAAAAAAAAAAATTAGGTAAATATAATTGCATATGAAAATGATAATACGTAAAATAATTAGAAATTAAATAATTGTCTTTAATATAGACGTAAAAAGGATACGTACCTCGTAAGAAAAATGCATTACAAAAGAGATAAATTAATCGTTTTTAAATACTGTTCCAACAATATAAACATTGAGTACGTATCTATCATATAATATTATCGAATAATTGGATAATCGATAACTCTATGTTGCAATTCTTTAAACGTTACTTTGTAATCTTCCATAAAAAGTCCATATTGTGAGAGATTACTGATCCAATATGGCGGCTCGCCCAATTTTCGAGAACTAAAAAAATATAATTTCTTCATTGATTTTCATCCCAGAGCAGCACTTGTACTCGTCGAGTGATTTAAAAATGGCGGCAAATTCAAACACGAAATACAGCCGATCTTATCATCAATATCGCAACGGATAACAGTCTCAAATGGTAATCTCTCTTTCAAATCAATCGGCTATACAAACCTGTCCGCTCACCGCGATAAAGCATCCGTGAAAGTCTTCCATACGCGCGTGTATACCTGTCGAGCATATTTTTCACAATATGGTCACGAATAGGTGTTACGTAACCCGACGTGTTGATTTGTCCTGGCGTTGAAAGACGCCACCAAACACAACGAGAAATGTTCGTTTTCTCGTTTCGCTGTCGGGCTAGAGAGTGATTTGTTCCACGATCTCTGTTCCCTTTTTAATTTGAAAGGGAAAGAGAGGTGTTTCGTTACGTCCGTCGCACGATTCTACTTCTCGATATATAGCTTTGATGCTCGTATTCCAGTTTCGCGAAACCGGACATCAACTTGACCCACATTGACGATCACCAATTTCCATTACGTTCGTTACGCGGGATGGGACGACCTTAACATTGATGTACATAATGGAGCAGCTGGAGGTAGGCTGTGCAGGACGCCGATATCGATCAATAACGATGCGAGATACTTTAGTACTCGTATGCTATAGAAAACGATAAATGATAATGATACCTTCTCTGTTTGGGATTAATTTTTTTTTTTTTTATTAGATATTCCGTTATTTTTAAAAAAGCATAATTTTTCTAATAATAAAGTACTTATTTTGATTCCAGTTTCTTGGAAAAATGAAATTTATATAGGGATATAATATTGTTAAAAATATCGAAATATTTGTTCAATATTTTCGATATACTTACTACAATGCGTTCAGATTTCTTATGATTTTTTTGTGATTTTTTCCTCAAATAAAAATTTGAAAATATTCTTGTTTCAGAGGAAGATGCGTGTATAATGATTATGCGTATTATCTCTCGACATTGTTGCCCTTACAACGAATCTTCGGTAGCAGGGAAAGCGAATAAGGATCTTCTCACTCGGAGAAAGTCTTTTCCTCTTCCTCCCCATTTGAGCAACGTTTCGTTTTATTCTCGGCCGTCGTTATCGCGCGTTACTCGAAACACAAAATGCTCGTAGGAGTCGTAAACAAGACGGCCATATCTCTTTAAACGTATCCTTGCCACTCGCTAACTCTAAGAATAGAGATAAGAAAAGGTGTTTGGAAATAAGTAAAACTAAAAAATTCCTGAAAATTATAATACCTCGACAATAACTAATTTATATTACGCACTCAAGTTTCAACGATAACACGACGTACTAATGAGTTTCTGCAAAAACTTACCTCAGACACGCAACTTCCAAGTAATAACGGTAGATTTTGATTAATGCCGGATAATAAATTCCGCGAATTAATTACTCGGATTTGTAATACACGGTAATTTGTAATATGAATGGAATAGCAATGGAAATTTCTAAATATACATTTTTACACGTTCGTCAAATTCTGTTCTCTATGAAAGAATTTAACGATACGTAATATAGTGATAATAAAATTATAAGCAATAACGAACTATTTTTTTAACTTCTGTATATTATTCGCAATTGTTATTTTCTTTTATAATTATACTAATTATTAAATACTGAAAAATCTTGTTACACAACCAGGAAGACAATACATAATTAGTTTGCCATCGGTTTGTGTATGTGTTCAATTACACCTAGCAACAAACTTTCTTTTCAAATAACAAAATGAAATTACTCTTCCATAATTTTACGGATATTTTTTATATTATATATCTTATGTAACACGTATGCAAATGAACGATTAATTAACGTTTTATCGTTCATTTGAAAAAAATCACGCATTCATTTCGAACCTAACCTAAACCTCCAGTTGCTCGAGCAATGATCAACAGCGGACAAAGGCGAAACTAAACGAACAATATCGTCAACTTTTCCATTCGTGTCTCGCAAGACAAACTGTCGCGTTTAAAACGTTTCCAGTTTACGTGGTGAAGAAGGATGAACACGATTACACGTCCCTTTCAACTCGACAACTCGCGAGTTAAATGAAGTACAATTACGACTTATTCTCATCGCAGACGTACATTTCCTTGGGGAAATGCTCGACGATAGAACTCACGACACACAGTCAACCGAGTCTGCTCTGTTACAGTTTTGCGCAACATAATAAGAAATAATACACTTTTGCCGCGTTGCATTTCTATAATCGTTTCCTCGTTTCGCAATAACTTTCCGTTTTGCGACACGGGAGCGTTGTTGATGCTCTCCACTCGCGTTATTCACCAGATAACAGACGTCGCGTCTAACATTTTGCAGTATGTAGTGGTATCTTGCATCAAGACCACAAACTAACCTATTTGTAGAGTGGATTATTGTGCTGGCCAATTACGAAAGAGATAAATATGTTTTATCGAAAAACCTATTCGAATCAGCGTAAAGTTTAAAGACTTCGACCATTAAGATTTTAAAAAAAGGATAATTTTAAGATGCAGTTAACACTTTTGTTATTCATATTTGCCGTGTTTTGTTTAAGGTAAAAGTAACTGTTCTCATTAATTTTTTTTTCCAGCAAAATGTTATATTTAGCATTAATGTGAAACGTTAACGAGCGTTTAAAAATATAGAAACTAGTTTTACATTTTTTGCAATTACTACTTTTTGTTAATTGCTAGAAAACATTTAAAGTTTAATAATTCCGTAATTGTACCGTTGGATGCAAGTCTCTTTGATACTTAAATACTTAATTAAATTCTATATTCATTTTTTTTCTACAAATACTTCAGGAATTCTATTATTGTAAACTTACGCTTAGTTACAACATGTTTTGTGCGTCAATGTTGGCCAAGGAACTCGTATATTTTTCTAAAAATATAAAAACTGACAATTGTCGGTAAAGCTCTTCTCGTGTATCCCATAGTGCAATTGCAAAAGTGAGGAAAATAACGATGACGATGCAAAAATCTATTGTCGGAAAAAATTGTCGGAATTACAAAGTGTCGCTATATAATGATCGAAATATCTGATCGTATCACGAGTGATGCAGTCGAATGGTAACCTAAACGAGTCGCGATACCAGATATTCGAAACTTTCTAACGTTCGGACATACCGGAGAAACAGTTACGCAATTTCCTTCCGGCAATAGGTTATTTACTTTCGATCGTCATTGACCACGTCGTACTCGATCTAACGGGGCTTAAGATTGATAAGCTATCGCCGTACCATTTCGAGAGAAACAACAAAAACGCAAAGAGTAAATTAGTCAAGAATTGCATATTGATATTTAAATCGTGTTTACATTACACAGTGCCCTATAATTGAATATATTTAGATAATAAATTTCTTTTATTTGTTTTTCTTTAAATCGTTTGAATATTATATACCAATCTCGATAAGGATATAATAAAGTTATTCGATACTGATCTTATTTTCATTTTCAAAATTGATAAAATATTAGGAAATTTATCTAGCAATTTGTTTAATTTTAAAAAATTGAATCTATTTATAAATTATTCTATTCTTATCACAATTTTCAAAATAGAATGTCACAAATCCATAAAAAAATTACCTCTGTACCTGTCATTATATCAGTTTTGAAAAAAGTTAAAACCACAATCTCCTTTTTCCGAATACTTGTAAAAAATTTTGTTTATATCCTAACCTACTTACACGTACTTCATCTCTATTCATAACGGTGTAACGGAATCCCTTTTTTAAAAAAGCGAAAAATCCATCGCAAATATCGAAACGATGTCGTTTTGCCCGTCTACACGAATCTCAAACAAGCTGGTGGAGAAGACGCCACGTAGACAGATGAAACGCACGATCGTTATTACCGTTGCATCTGCCGCCACTGTGCCGGTGACTTCGACGACATTATCGAAAGGTCAACGTAGAACTGGTCGTCTCCGGCCACGAATCACGAACACATCCAACGCGAGATGCACTTTTAAAAGTCACTTGCAATGCGCGATGTAGGCTCACGGGTCACGTACATAAACGTGTAATGTATCCAATCTTATAATATATGTCAATGGAAATATATATATGTATATATAATAATAGTAATGAAAAATTGTCATACTTTGTTTGTTAGATGTGATAATTTAGGATTTTCGAGAAATCACTAGTTTCACTGTATACTTTACACCAATTATCTATATTTATGGAAAATTTTAAAATGTCGAAAAAAATATTAAAAGTTCGTGATTTTTAATAAACTTCAATGATATTTTCATCGAATCTTGTACGCGCGATTAGGAAGTCTGGGGATAAAATATATTTATTTTCTCTTGTTAAAAAAAAATCTCTTTATTAAGAAAATACTGTTGAGGAAAGAAAGAAAAATACTGGAAAACATTGTGATAATCGAATCGATCGTCATTTGCCTACAGCGGTCGTGTGCCGTGACAGAGGTCGAGTGAAACGGGAAATTCACTGCGGAATGTAGACCCTGTCAAGGATTACCGGTGAATAAAGACATCTATCATTCACCGATTCTTAATTAAATGCCATCGATTCGATTGCTAGTATTATTACTCTTCGCATAATCGTACGTATAGTCGTAAAACGAACAAAAAGCAATAACCTGTTTGGCCGAAAGGGGAAAAAATTAATTTCTTCGATCATCTCGTCTACCTTTCTCGATTTCTCGCCTCCTCTCCTGAACGTCCTCCTCCTCCTCCTCCTCCTGTTATCAGGCCGGTGGTGACACGACACGGATGGTCTTTGCGAGTGAAATGCTTCTCGCGACGGCCTCAAGGCCGACGAGATACCGCCTCTCACTTTCGTGTATAACCTCTCTATGCAGGAGAGGGCCTCGTCGAGTCAGTCCGCCTTTCGCCCTCTCCTCTCTTCCTCCCCTTCTTTCGTATATCCCCCTATTCAACCTGCATATTCTATTCTTCTCTTCCATTCCTCGTTCTCTTTGTGAACGAGGCTAAATGACCGGTGAAATCGCCTTAATCGTCTATATTCTCCATATTCCTTTTTTTACAGAAGTAAAGAAAAAAGAAGATGCTCGATGAAAAAATCAAACGCGAATACGTAGAGAGAGAGAGAGAGAGAGAGAGAGAGAGAGAGGAGTAGAGAATAAG